AGGCTGAATGTGTACACTGAATCTCACACTGATTTTTCAGTTAGGATTTAGTGCTGTGCACCCACATCCAAGGGCTGGGAAGTGTTTATCAGCAGGTTCCATCTTGACATTGGAAATACCCAGCCACACTGTCTATTTGCATAGTGCTTTGTATGTTGGTATGCTGTGCTAATGGCAGCCTTTGGGTGCAAGGGTAGAAGGAACGACTTGGGCATGAAGTTGTCAGAGTTCCTGTGGCACGTCTTTGCAAGTAACACATGAGCATAATTAACCGATGTTGCCCATATGATTCCAAATATGTGCTCCCTGCTTCACAGAAACAGAGGTTTCGGTCTTCATCTAATTAGATGAACACTTTCTGGATATATTAGTAAAAATGCAGGTGAAATGTTGAATGTTGCCACTGTCATTAAATATTTTGCTATAATGTCACATTCTGTTTCTTCAGTTTTGAAACAGCCACCCGTGCTGGAAAGGCAGTGAGTGCTTTTTCTACTGTTCTTGGGAACCAATATGGGATATCCCTTTTTAGGGATAAGCTGTGGCTCGCTGATGTAAATCTTTCTGGGAACCTCCTGAAAATTAGCGTCGTTGGAAGTTGATAGATTAGGTCAGAAGGGTTCATAGGCAGTAGCCATATGTTTATGTAAGTGAACCGGGAAGTAATAAAGAAACCCTGAAAGGCACAGCTACTTTTGCACGGATTCGGAGCATATATTTCAGCCTAATGCTGAAATAAACAGAGCTTCAAACATGCTGGATTTAGTTATTTTCATATTAAAAACTGCATATATTTATGATATTTTCACCACTTTGAATTTCACTGATGCATGTTGGTGTGGCATAAAGCTTCAGCTTTAAAAGTTTGTGTATGTTTTGGTGTATAAATGAAAAATAGTTTCCCAAGGCTATGACCCTGTCACTCTTTAAAAGAGATTCAGCTTTTTTAGGAAGGCCCAAAACTTGACTATTGATACAGAAACTGAAACAGAATTATGTAAAACTAATCACACAGAAAAGTGTGGTTTAGACTGTTTTTTTTCCCCTTAGATTAAATTATTTTACAAATATACTTAGCGTATTCAAGAGTATTTTTTAGCCTGTACAGCTAACTTGATAGGACTGCTCAGATTTTAGTAAGATGTAGTTCTATTTTTCAGTGTGAAAATTTCCCTTTAAATTTAGGGCACTCTTTTACATATTCGTATATTCTTAGTTCTTTTAATAGCACTTCTACTATTTGTTCTTTTGCTAGGCCCACTGCCCTAAAACTTTAGAACCAGTGGCCTGAAGAGTCTCTGTTTGTGTCTGTTACGGTAATGATAGTCCCCTCAGCCACAGCTTCAAAAGTGGAAGTGGCTGGATTTTTTGATGAATGATGCATGGTCCAGGAGTATGGTCCAAGGGTATGTTGCACAGGGATCAGCAAGGTAGTGTAAGTGAGAATTTAATAGAGGTTTATTATCCAGCTTCAATTTATCATAAAATTCCTGGTGAACACAGATGGTGCAAAGTACTTTTAAGGTTTTTAAGAGCCACTTAATAAGATTAGGAATTGACATACTGAATTGGACTCAACAGCTATGCTGATATCTTGGCTGAGAATGTTCATCACCAGTGTTCTTATATGTCTCTCAAGAACATCTGTTGTATGGCATATTTGCCCCACATGTATAATCTCTTCAAGTCATTTTAAATTTGAAGATTAACTGTGAAAAATGATTTGCTGCTTAAACTATCAATTTGTTCCAGCATTGCTGCTTGAAGGCAGCTCAGTATGTCTTTGCTGTAGAAGATGCAAGGGAAAGCCTTTATCCCAACCAAACTCTTTAGCAGTAGGTTAGTGCTTTACCTGGTTTTGATTATGAAATGAAAATATTAACAAAAGCAAGAGCTATATCTAGCATATATTATGGAGGTAAAATTCCAAATATGGTCCAAGTGTAATGAATCTGCATCTGGAATAGCTCCTAATCAGCAACTTAATTGTACCTTATAGTCGCATGGTGAAACGAGTAGGATTTGGTGGGTGCTGCTGCTGTTTGCAGCTCTGTGATAGTTTTTGGAATTTCCCGAGAACCTGGAAGCTGTGTTTTTGGAGGGCCTGTCTTCACCTCTTCCACTGTGTCAGTATGAGTCATGAACGTTGCTACTTATTTCTGTCTGGGAGCTAATGGTAGGGATGAAGCAGATCTCCTTATGTTTTGTAAACCAATGCACCATGTACCACTCTTTTTACCCCCATCTATTGATGTGCTTTAAAAAATAGTGCTACTTCAGAGACTGTTACAATACACAACAAACTAAATAATGCTTCGTTGTTGTCTGAAGTCATAATTCGTGTTTTATTAGGTACTAAAAAGTACCTGATGGCGTATTATCAGGTATGAGGTATTTGTTAACATTAATAGCCTGGTGGTTGTAATGATGAGACATGTCGTTGTAAAGGATATTCAGTAGCTTGGTAAGTTTTACAAAAATGTGTGTTGTTAAGTTTCAGTGGGATGTCCTTTTTTTGGTTTAGTGATGTACAAAAAGTGGCAGTTGTCTCATGTCTTCATGTGTAGACCTTTAAAAGCATACCTTGGAGCAATTAATGTTGCCCTAAGGGCAGCTACTGAATTTTAAGTCGTCTTTGAATGACTTTCTTTTGGGATTTATCTTTCAGGTAGTTAAAACACTTCATAACATAAAGAAACAGGTTTGGTTTTTTTCAGTCGTGCCTTTTACATGGACAGGTGACCATGTTTGGTATCTTTCTCTACGTTTAAAAGTATATTTTTGGTTTTGACATTAGTACTATTTGTAGCATGTTGGATACTGTTTGTATCTTATTGTCTTATAATTTTCCGCAACTCCTCACGGGGGTGTGGGATTCCCTTACAAATTTTTCACTGAAACTGAACTATAAACCTACTGGGACTTTTAGGTAATATGAATATAAATCTTGTGAGGCATTAATGTAAAGGCAGCAGGTAAACAATGGAGGGAGGTTTGAAAGTGATTACTTTCCCAAATGCATCTTAGAATTTTTTGCTTATGTAAACCATCTAAAATACCCCATACTCTCAGGGAACTGCAACGGACATCAATGGTCAGGAATTCACTTAAATAGCAAAAAAAAACCCCAACCCAAACCCAACAAACTTGCACTTTAGCTTTAATGCAAAATAAAAGTTTAGAGAGTGCCATGAAAGATGTATTTTGCAATGGAAGAGAAATGAGGAAGCTGGAGAATTAATAATATGTATGTGTGTGTAGGCAAAATTTTTTATTTTGTGTTTTATCATAAAGAAACTTGAAATTACCAAGTTCATTTTAGCTGATTTAGTGGATTATTTTGGCTATTTTTAAGGACAAAATAATGAAATGTTAAATTGTTATGACTTTGGAGTGGGAGAGTTTTATGTATTGGGCTATATTTGTAAGGGGACTTCAGAAACCAGTCCAGTGAATAGAATGTTTTGGTGGTCACAGAGTGTAAGCCTCCTATTTCCAAGCCACCTTCTGAAGAAATAGACTGATGTTTTAAAATTTTTTTTTTTCCTAAAAAAGTTAAAGTTTCAGTTGAAGAGCTAGATGCTTATATCTCATTTGGAAACTGCATTGGCAGTCAGTGCAATTCCATGGGTTAAGATCTGAAAGAAGTATTATTCTTGTAGTTAATCTTCCAATAATGAATGTAGCGAAGTTAGATTAGTATTAATCTGGTTTTGTTTCCATTACACCATGTATTTTGAAAGATTGTGAAATGTCACTGTCCCATTTACAGGATTGTGGACAACATGCCTGTGACCTGGTGTTATGATGTTGAAGATGGCCAGAGGTTCTGCAATCCTGGTTTTCCTATTGGCTGTTACATTACAGAAGATGGCCGTCCAAAAGATGCCTGTGTTATTAATGTATGTTTATGCGATTATTTTTTTAATATCCCCTTTTTACTGATTTAAAGACTGGCATTTCTCCTATGTCCTGTTTCTATGGTGGGTCCTCACTATCTTAAGAACCCTTGTTGCCTAAAACTAGGTAAGGTATCTCTGCAAGTACCACAATTTGTAAGCCTCATCTAAGCCCAAGATCTTCGTCTCTTCGGTTGCATAATACAGAAGGACTCTAAAAGATAGAGGGAAGAGATAAACGTGCATAGCATTTAGTACCTGTAAAGGGTGAAGGAGAAGAAAAACATGTCATCCTTCATTGCCTAGGAAGTCTAAACATTTGAAGGCTTGGACTTCACGTTTTTATGGGATAGAAGTGTTTTCATGGAAGCAGGTTTGCATAGACGTGTTTGTACCTCTGCATGGAAATTATTACTTTCTGAAGGATTGGTTTCCCTAAAACTGTGTGGGCTAATGGAAGAAGGCAGAATTGAAGATTTCTGGGTGAACAAAGCTTGTACAGTGAGAGAGAGAGATCTATTGGATTAACTGGTAGAGGTCCAGATAAATGCACTGTATGTATTGTGGAGATAAGAACGCTATAGAAAATCCAAGATGTCTTTAGATTACCACAGACCTCTTCCATGGAGAGGTCACTGAGGACCTGGAATAGGTTTTTGATTTTACCAAAATGGTTAGTTTTACTTAATGGATCTTACCAAAGACGACGGTTTCTGCAGTTTCTAATTTTGTTTCGTTTCCTCCGTAATGAATTCGTTTCAGAGGCTCCATATGAATGGATGCTGGAAACACATTTATGATCAAATCTGTAATCTGGCAATATTCTTTAAATCTTGTTTAAATACTTGTTTTTAATAAAAGGAAAATAACCTTTGAAGGAGTACTGAAGGACTGTAGAAGAACACTTTGTTTATAGAACTATTCTTATAATTAGGGTGCTTTGTGAAAAGAGGTGGGGATAGAATCCTGAAGAAGTACTAATGGAACTTCAGTAGACATAATGCTTGTTTAACAACCTCTTTAACTGACTGAATTCCAAGCTGATGTTTCCCTTCACCTGAGATTTGTATTCAGCATTCTTGGCTGCTGCTTGCAGTTCATCCCTGTGCATCTTTGGTTTCAAATGTCAAGGTGGTTCTGTCACAGAGAGCCATTATTTGCATTGTTTGTCTTGGGAGGTTCTGTTTAATCTATGAAAAATATATACATTGTTTTAAAATAGCTGATGTGTATGAAACGCTTCTGATGTGAAAGTTGTCACATAGTTATCTATTCAGTTTGCTACTTCAATTAAATAAAATGGGACATCTTCAGCTATTGAAATATTTTAATAAATATATTTATAAATACATTTTATATTTAAATACATTTTTCTACTTTTCAGCTGTAGTAGACAGTTCTTAGCATTAACTTTTCTAGTTTGCCTTTTTAATGCAAGGCTTTAATGCAAAGACTTTACTGTCTTTGTATTCCCAGAATCCTGCATTCATCTTGTAGGAGAACTTCTTGACAGAAAAACTGTACACAGTCTAAAATTCTGTTATGTAAGCTTCTGCCTAAGGCTTTTAGATGTCTTTATCTTTTTGATTGTTTAACACCATCTTTTATCACTGCAGTCAGAATTTCATGAAAAAGATACTTTTTATATCTTCAACCATGTTGACATAAAAATATATTACCATGTTGTGGAAAATGAAGCTCTGGGAGCAAGACTAGTTGCTGCTAAACTTGAACCAAAAAGGTTAGTACTCGGAAATAACTTGTCATCAAACAGTGGTCCGTCCCAAGGTACTTGCTTTGATTTGGGGACCTGTTGCTAGTCAGAAATGTTTTCAGATATGTGACCTGTAGATTAGCTTTCCTGTTGATTGATGTAGTCTAATGTAGGACAGTCTAACATAATTTTGTTCTGAGTTTGATAGATCTTTGTGCACTATTTCCTATTTGGGCCAAAAAAAAAGATAAAATAAAACCTGGAAGTAGCATGTGTTCAGTGAAGCAACCCTCATTTCCCTACTGGGAAACATTTTGTCTTGTGACAGAATAGGCCACCAGTGCCTGAGGCGGGACAGAGTGCAACATTTGATGTCTTCAGCAATCAGGATTTGAATGGAACGATTTCACAAATACACTCGTCAGTTGTTCTGGTGTCTATGTGGCTTTTGTACAACTGATGTCTGTTTTATTATTTCTTAGCATCTTGTCTTTCCTTTCTTTTGTATTCTTGGTATAACTGAGCTTGTTGCCTTGTTGGTCCAGCATCATGATGAAAGTATTTTTTCTGACAAAAGTTAATAATTCTGTTGTTTTAACTTTTTGAGTGTTTTGGAGGTTCTTAGCAGTACTCAGACTTCTTTAATTTTTGGTGCTCTGCTTTAGAGACTGTGCGCTCTATAGTTTTCTTTTTAGAAGAGACAACTATTGTTTAAAAAGTTCAAGTATCAGAGAGTCCTGTGTTTATGATACATTTCTTATGAGTTCTGAAATTTGAGGCATTAAGAACACTTTTTATATTTCAGGGAAGAATCCCGGATGAAATTGATGCTTGTGTAAGATGAATGAATTCTTTCTTAAGAGCGTTGTCAGTGAAGCAGCTTTCATTCTGTGTTTTTTCATCTTGCAGTTACAAGCATACTCATCCAGACAACCCTGATTGCTCGGGAGTACCTATGGATATAAGTAATAAGGCTAATGGAGAAGTCAAAATCGCTTACACATACTCAGTTTCTTTTCAAGTGAGTACTAAGCTTTCTGTAGTAGTTACCTCTTAAAATCATGCATTAATGCTCTGAATTATAAAGATGGACAACTAAAATTATCTCAGAATAGTAAATTTGTGGTTTTAAAGCTTTATTTGAACTGGAATGTCAGAGATGGCTTGGGGTTCAACCACATGCTTTACGATTTTGCATACCATCCCCCACACACTGAATGTGAAATGCATATGTGTTTTTTAAAAGAATCACACTTTCCATGTTTACCTAGGTTGTCTGGTAGATTATTTTTCAATCCAAGCTCTAAGTTTGAGAAATGGTGTGTTTCAGCAAATTAGTGTTGTAGGTAGGTTGAAGCTGATCATTTTCTGCTCTCCTGCTGCAAAAACTTTCTTTTCTTCAAGGTCTTCCTCCCATGGAAATTTGCAAAAGAGTAGGAAGCTGGTATTCTTTGTTCCACTACTCTCTATTTAAAGACAGAGGAGCAGTATATCAGGCAACTGTAGGGAGCAGTGATACTTGAATATGTCTCATTCTGGTGACAAGCAAGAGACTTTCTTTTTTTTTTTTAAATGGAGTTTGCTGGACAAACTGTTTCCCAAAGTTTCCCACTCTATCCCAAACGTTTCCCTATTATTTTACTCAAAATACAAGTGACTCACTAAAAAGAGAGCAGATTATAACTAACTGGGTTTCTTGACTCTCTGTGTATGTATTGAAGGGATAGCTCACATACAGCACTTCCTATTTTCAACCTCAACAGATCTGTGGTTCTTCTGGATATGAAGGAGTCTACGCCTTCCTTTTTTTTTTTTTTTAATTTTTTGGCCTTGTGGACTTTAATCAGAATCTTGGCAAGTAATAGATTCAAAATAGCAATAGGGCAATTTTTAATTTTCTTTATCCTTTTTCTTGTTCTGATTGCAAGGCCAGTGGTGTCTTTCAAAATGATAGGCCATTGTCATATCAAAGCTGTTCATATATCTGTCTTAATTCTAGATGTATAGCCTGCTGTAGGATTCAGTTCAACTGTGGTGAAATGGAGACTACATAGTTGATCTTTAAAGTTAGTTGGAGGGTAGTGTTGAGTTAGGGTGTGGGATCCACTGTCATAAGAAGTACGCAGTAAAGCACTGGTCTTGTAATATCATATCACCATGCTGTCTCAGGCACAAATGCTTTTTATCTCTTATAAGCTGTTATAGCAGTGTTTGAAGAATTACCCATGATCATTCTTTACTCTAGTAACATACTGAATTACATGGTAGAGTTCAAAATACAGTAAATAGTGTAAGAAAAATATTCAGAAAGGGTTGTATTATGTATGATTAATAATTATATTTTGAGAAATTATATCAGTTATGATGCTGAAATTAATTTGTATACTGAAAAGCAAGTACTACTGGAAACCTGTGAGAAGTTAGTATTTAAGAATGACCTTAGCTTCATGCTAAGCTTCATATTGTTTACCTTTAAAAAAAAAAAAAAAAAAAGACATGCCTAGCTGTGTGTGTTACTGTCATGTACACAATGTTACATCACTTGGAGGTAATTTTCTGAAATTCCATTGGGTTGGCAGATCAGGTCACCTCAGGAAGACAGAAAAAAGGCAGTGTAGGTATGGGGAAAAATGCAATTCTGTCCTAGAATCGTTGACACTGGTTTAGAAACTTGTTGCTTGCGTTGAGACCTAGTTTTATTACCTCAATGAATAGATGTTTGATCTTGGCTAAATTTTTTAACCCGCTGGTTTTTATATTTTCAAAAACTGGCTTTACTGAAAAGCACTCTTGCTCTTGTATATTATAAATTACTAAAATAACATCCTGTCAGAAAAACACCTAGCCATTTTTATTAATTGATACTAGTGTTTCTGGTTTGTTTAATGGCAGTCTTCAGGTTGATCAGCACTGTTTATTCCTTTTTTCATGTTTACTCTGCAAAATAAAACAAAGAAATGCTCTTTTTGAAGTGTTTCTGATCAATGAATGTTCAGTCTGAATAAGTGTAATCAGCTGAAACGCATAAAGGAATAATTTGTTTCCTTCTGCTAACAATGTAAGTTTTGTAGTATTGTCTTCCCACCTGTCCTGCAGTATAAGCTGAATGTAATTGAATTGGTAGTTGGTGCTGAAACAAGGTTGTATCAAAGCAAAGGATAATTTGGACAGAGCACTATCTAAAAAGTGGGACATTATGCTGGAGACTCTATAGCAGAGCTTAGTTTCTCAGTGTCTGTGGTGTTGACTTATGCTAAAAAATGCATATTCTTTATTATTCTGCTTGTCGTTTGAATTCGAGATGAATTAATGTAATCCTTGAAGGGAGGAAGCACAATTAAATTAATTTGATATGCCTTTATGTCCTAAGAAGACATGGGTTCTCAATACTATTCAGAAAATATTTTTGGTTTAGATTCTATGGTCAAATCTTAGGTTTGTTTTAGGTAGTTGTTATTAAACTATTCCCTTTAAGGCATGCAAAATTAAATTTTCAATTTGTCGTGAGATTTAAGATAGCTTTGCATGAACATCAACTTATAAATTTCAGTTGGATACTGACTGTATCTGAAACTGATGTGTTTACTCTTTCAGGAAGAAAAAAGTATAAGGTGGGCATCAAGATGGGATTATATTTTGGAATCCATGCCTCACACTCACATTCAATGGTTTAGGTGAGAAGAAAGTTTTTCTTCAAGTGTACTGTACTGAAGTGTTTACATTGCAATTTGAATGATGATTTTTAAATTTTTTTTTTTAATTCAGTATTATGAATTCCTTGGTGATTGTCCTCTTCCTGTCTGGAATGGTAGCTATGATTATGTTGAGGACACTGCATAAAGACATTGCAAGATACAATCAGATGGATTCCACTGTAAGTCTGAAATGTACCTCTTAAAATTTATTTGGAATGTAATTTTTTCAGCTAAATGTATTTCTGTAACAGGCTATTTAAATGGCAATCTACTGTATTAAAATAGGTATTTTCCTTTACAGGAAGATGCTCAAGAAGAATTTGGCTGGAAACTGGTTCATGGTGATATTTTCAGGCCCCCAAGAAAAGGAATGCTGTTGTCTGTTTTTCTAGGCTCTGGCACACAGATCTTAATAATGACTTTTGTTACCCTGTGTAAGTAATAAAGTGGGGAGGCATTAGTTGAGTACAGATGATCTTTCACTGCTAATCGCAAGGTACTAGTAAAAATAGCAGTATAGTTTTTGTCTGGCAATTTCTTAAAAGTCTAAGATTAGAAACAGCTGAGCTGATATAATAGACATGCAACTAAGTATCCACAGATTTTAAGATAACTGATGTACTGGCTTTGTCAAATGTATAATTACTTTCCAAAATTGTGCATCTCTGCTTCATAGTTTTTGCTTGCCTGGGATTTTTGTCGCCTGCTAACCGGGGAGCTCTAATGACCTGTGCTGTAGTTTTGTGGGTACTGCTTGGAACTCCAGCTGGTTATGTTGCTGCCAGATTCTACAAATGTGAGTAAAAGTTATTTAAAATGACAGGGCTTAAGTTCATTAAAGTAAATTATCATCACAGAACTGATTTTTATTTTCCAGTACTGTTTGTAGTTTCCCTCAGGGCAAGATGGAGAAATGTACTTACCGTTACAACAGAAAACACATATAGAACACTGACATGGTTACATTGGTTTTGATGCAATCATGCCTGAAGACCCTGAATTGCTCTTGCTACTATGTATTTATGGAATTGGAAAGCAAATTCCATTTTACTAATACTAAGCTCATTACACCAGACAGTTTTGTACTTCTATTTCCTATAGTTGGGGGAGGGGTGTTAACTTGCATTTAGTTTTAGCCATCAGTGTTGCTTGGTAACATTTTTTTTCCCCAAATCATAAACCTCTATTCTTGCATGCCTGAGATTTGTCACCTCTTTTTAGCTGGTTTCTAGGTCTTTGGGAGAATGGTGTTTATCAGACTGTGGCAGGGGCGTAGGGGGAAGGATTATTAGCTGTTCTGTAGTTGTAGAAATCAGCCCAGTGGTGTTCGGGCACCTGACAGTAGTTAGTTGATACTGTTTTCCTTAACTGATCCCAGCTAGCTATTGTTTCAAGGCCTGCCTACCAACCTTAAACTGTTTGCCCCGGTTTATTTTGAGGTGAAGCATGCCATTCCGCATACAGCTTGTTTAATTACCTTACTCAAGGTACAAAACTCTTTGTGACTGAGTGAGCTGGATCTTTTGGACTATTTTAGTTCTTAACATACAGGGCTACAGGAGTTTATTTCTGAACTTCAACCTGGCAGTAGGCATTGAAGTTCTTTCTTCTAACCATTTTTTAATTTTCATGTGGGGACAACCACTGGGGTTGTATTTTGTAGGGAGTTTTTCCACAATGGTAGTGATGCGATAGTGAACTATTCCTTGTCCTTCTCTTCAAGCCAATTAGACTTAAATGGAAGGAGACTTTAGGACTAACAGCATAATTGAGGACAGAATAATTGTTTATATCATGCTGTATGTTATATGTTTTGAAGGATATTTTGAAGTCTATTGATGGTAAATTGAATCCAGTATCTTTAGTGTAGATGTAGCTAATAATAATTACATTTCATATTATACTTATTGGGAATCATTTATTTGATACTTGAATATTGGTTTTAACTACTAAGACAGTGAGTGACCAATCCAGAGATACTATTGTTATAACACGAGGTGGTCTATACCCTGTATAGAGCATGTAAACATGAATGTTTCTCCTTATAGTATACAAATAATGTGAGACATAAACCAAAATGTAACTGAAATGGATATCCAGTTTTAAAAGTGGGGTTTTTTTTCCCAACATTACATTTAAAAAGTGAAACCTGAGTTGAAATTAAATGGTTAATCTTAATAACCTGTGCCATGTTCTACCAAGATTTTATGAAGAAATAGAAAGCTAATTAAAATCACTCTAACCATAATCACTTCTGACTCTTGAAGTAAAGAAGCATGTCATTATGGCAGTGCTCAAATGAAATTGTCAGCTTCACTGAATTCCAGCAGGACGTTTTCATTTGGAAGTATACTGACTATAATTTTTATCAGTGTAGTGCAAATTCATAAAGATTTTCTTAATAAAGCTATCTTTGGTCTTTTGGTATCATGACTGCTTAATGCTATTAAGAGACCATCACTATTTCCTCTAAGCATGTTAGCCCTGACTTTCTTCTAAGATTCTTAGACAAGAATTATTTCAAGAAAACTGTTAAGCTTGCTTTTCACATATTTATGTATTTTTTCCTACTGAAACCTGCAGTCAAATGCTGCTAGAAAGCTTAAACTTCTTAATCACTCCAGGTTTAAACTGTTTTTTAATCACTTAAAAAGCACTGCAAATCTGCTTCCTCCTTTTAACAGATAAAGTGGTCAGAGACCCAGTTTATTTAGTTGGGATACTTTTCCTGACCTTGTTTTGAGGCTTTGCTTTGAAGCTCTGTGATTAAGCAATATGATGAGGGAATTCAGTTTTATTACTGAAGATTTAGTTTACTGTTTTAAACTTGGGCATGATAGCACAGTATTTGCAAGCACAGTATTTGCAAGCTAATAGGTAAATGGACTGGAAAATTAATAATTGTGAGTTTAATGCATGTTTTGATGACTGTAAAATGTTTTAATACAGCATTTGGAGGTGAGAAATGGAAAACAAATGTCCTGCTAACATCATTCCTTTGTCCTGGGTAAGTTGAGAATATCGCCATGATTAAAAGAATTAAATTGCACTTCTCTGACGTGCATAGCTAATTTTTAAGTTTCAGCTATACAAGTAAATCCTATTACATCATCCCTTTATTCCAGAAGCTACAAGAATATCACAGCGCTTTTGATAAAGATTAATATGTTAATGGCATATTATCCTTAGATATAATTTTTTTTTAGTAAGCATTTGTTTACTTTCACCACATGAAAAGGTTGATTAAGAAAGAGCATTATGATAGTAGTAAGTTTTAGACAGGCACACTTCTTCATCGCTTTCTTTTACTCTCTAGGCTGTTTCTCTAACCACACTGTAGTTGGCCTTATATAGTGTCATATACTGTATAACCACTGTGATAAATTTTTCTACTTAATCACAGCAAGCAGTCTTACCCTGAAGTGTAGTTAAGACAAGCATGTATTTGAAACTGCTTAGTTGGAACGTCAGCTCCTGCTGGAGTTCAGTCCCACTAGATTAATAAAGAATTGCTTGTTTGACCTCTTCATTTTGATATTTTGTGTGTGTCATTTCATTTTAACAGAGATTTTCACTAAAATCTTAATACAGTGCTATTGTTTTGTTAATGTTATTAAATATTGAGTATTTCTATGCTTTAAGTGTATTATGTATTTTTCAGAATTGTATTTGCAGATTTTTTTATCATGAACCTCATTCTCTGGGGAGAAGGCTCTTCAGCGGCTATTCCGTTTGGTACTTTGGTTGCTATTTTGGCACTCTGGTTTTGCATATCTGTACCGCTGACTTTTATTGGTGCCTATTTTGGTTTTAAGAAAAACGTAAGTGTTTTTGAGAAATTGTTTTGTAAGTGTATGTATACACATATGCAGACGCATACACACATACACGTTTTTCACTGTATAGACTGTGACTGAGGTAGCACCTGACTGAGCTAGTTGCATTGTCAGCTCCAGTCCTGTTCAGTTATTTTAGAGCTGCATTGGATATCCAGTCTTGGGATTCCAAGACTTTGATACTCAGTTGGTTGTTGTTGGTGATAATTCTCTGCAATGATTAGGGTTATCATTGTATTTAATTGAGTGACTGCAGCAAATAAAGCAGTGATTTGGGCATTCTTTATTTTAATTAGCATCTCTTCCATTGTTAAAAAATTTAGTTGACCCAGCCAAGCATAAGGGAAAGCAACTTAAGTATTTCTGGGTTTCCCCCATGTGTTTTGTTCCTGTCCGCCCTCTACGTTGCATCTTTAGAAGGGTATTTTCTGATCAAATTGCTAGAGATCTTGTGAAATCTCTTTGCATAAGTGTTCTGTAAATGGTTATCACTGCTTGGCAGACATTAGCTGGGATTTAGTCCTAAACTGACCAATTTTACTTATTTATATGAGGGCTTTTTGTGACACTGGTGACCAAACCTTCTTAAATAGTGAAATCAGTTCTTCCATTTTTGCTTAAAAAGTGGTTTACTGTGCCCCACAAACTTAAAGATATTTTTGTGTTCAGATATTTTTGTGTTTTTTCCTGTATAGGAAGCCAGAGTTCGAGCTCTCTGTAGCTCTCATGGAATACCTTCAGAGAATATTTAAGTATCTTAGAAGGCACGTTTAAAGTTGATTGTAGTTATCCAATTTTTCTTAACTGGAATTCAGTGGGTTTTTTTCTGATAAAAATTTCTGGTTGAAATTCCAGCAAACCGCCCTGCATTGTACAGAGGCAGTTCCTTTAAGAAAGGAGGATTTGGTAAACTATAAGGCAACGTGACAGGTGTCACAAATATGTTAAAATCAAATCAGAAATCAAGTACCTAGCAAGTACCTATTGATGCTCTTGATGTAATCTTTACGAAAGGGGAGAGATGGCAAAATATTAATTTATCTGCCTTAAATTTTTTTCTCCCACCATGCTGATCTATGTATGCATCTTCAGCTAGGATTTAATTGCCAGATTGAATCCTCTCAGTTTGTAAGTTTATCCTAATGTGATTATTGGAGTAAATCCTGAAAAACAACATACAAGGATTTTTAGAAGGGGGAAGCAAGAGTCTGCACCACCACTACCCCCCAGCTGAAAAGTGAGAAATCAGCTCAGGCTCTGTAACCATTACCATAGATAGGTAATCGTAAAAAGGGAAATCCAAAAGATCTGTGGCTTTGTTTTCAATAAGAGCTGTCTTTTAACTTGTTTGCCTAGCAAATATTGGTAGCTAGGCTGGTAGCGAAAGCAGATGTAGTGGTAGCTGGTTATGCACATGCTCAAAACAAATAGTAGACTTTTGCCACCACGCATTTCAAAAAGAAAGCAAAAAGGCGGTGCTGTAGTTTGACATGTTATTTATTTAGCAATTTCTTATTTTCGTTTAAAGGCTATTGAACATCCTGTTCGCACAAATCAAATTCCTCGTCAGATTCCTGAGCAATCATTCTATACAAAGCCATTACCTGGCATTATCATGGGAGGGATTCTGCCTTTTGGATGTATCTTTATACAGTTGTTCTTTATTCTCAATAGTATTTGGTAAGTTAACCATGATCTATTTGAATTTTCTCGGTCATAGAAGGTGTTAATTTTTTTTGTGAAAGTTTTTCTTCAGGATGCTTTGACTGATTTTTGGTGATACAGGTTACCAGGTACTGGTTCAATAAAAATTTAAATATTAACATCTTTTTAACATTTTGTGGTTTAGAAGATATTCAGTGCCTGTTTTGCTTGTCGAGGTGTGTGGAGAAGTGCTGTGATATGCTTAGCAATTTACAGCTGACCTACAATATTCAAATAGCTAGTTTTCTCATGCTACTCCTCTGACTTCATGTGTGGAAGCAGCTCTGAAGCTGAGATACGGCATATAACTTGAGAGTAGTAAGTATATTAAAATTGACTTGAGGTTTTTTTGTTGTTATAGTTGTTGTTGAGCTAGAAAAGTACTACTACTCTTGGGAGAAAAAAGAAACAAGAACAAATTTTGTGAAATCTTTATAAAGGCACCAGAGAGTAATTCTTTTAAAAAACAAAGCACCAAAGACTAGTCCAGTGTAAGTGAATTCTGATGTGAACTCATAGCATACTGACAAACTAATCTACTGTGAGGGATTTGTCTTCCTTCTGGCACAATTTAGTTATTGGATCTTGTTAAACTGTTTCTGAACCTTGAATAGGTGCCTCTACCCAACGTAGACAGCTACAGCATTTGACATTTCTTGTTATTTTGCAGCTCTGCCCCTTTGATTGAAATGTGAGCTGAAATCCAAGTTCTGCTGAAGTCAGTGGAAGAGGTCACACTGACTTCACTGGAACTGTAATTTCACTCATTATGTCTAGTCAGTTTTTTCGCTAAAATCCCAACCAGGACCATGCTTTGGGCTTGCTTTCTCGCTGTTTTCAGACTGAGCTGCTGAGGCTCCTATTCTTCAGTTAGAAAACAAATTACCCAATTGTATGGCCACACAACTGACAGTACCTCAGTAGGAAGCGGAATACTTAAAATGAAGGTGATATTATTGCATATAAAGAAATAATATTAGCACAGTGTCCATTTTAATTTTTTTTTTTTTTTAAACTCCCTTTTATAGGTCTCACCAGATGTATTACATGTTTGGCTTCCTGTTTCTGGTATTCATTATTTTGGTTATTACATGTTCTGAGGCCACAATATTGCTCTGCTACTTCCATCTATGTGCAGAGGTAAGAAATATTCTTCAGTATTCATACTTGATACTGTTTTAAGGATGCTTCCAAAAAATTCTAAGGCTTTTGTAATTGGAAATAAGTATTCCAGAATTCAACATAAACACAGTTACTGTATGTCCTTAAATCATGTCTTTAGAAAGTGAAGCAGAAGTGAAGCAGGCTACTTTTGGCAAAACTCGTAACAAACACTAAAACCCTGCACTGAGTACTACTAAGTCAGAGATCTCATCTTTAGAGTCTTAACTCCCTGTTTTCTGAAGATGCTAACCTAATCCATTAACTTTGTTCAATCAAAGTGCATTTTTGCACATGCCCAACCTTAGGGTGGGGGAGGGCGGGAAGAAAATCTCTGTGGCTGGCAATAGTAGGTCTGGCTTATTTGGGTTTTTAGATTTTTGCCTATTTGATACTGATCTTTAGGTTTCTTATCTCTAATTGTGAATGGTGTAGTTAACTCAGTATTGATTATATATAGTTTTTTCCTGTAAATAAAAACTATAAAAACTTAATTTCTGATAAAGTAATAATAGAAATAGTAGCTCCGCATTCACTAATAGGGTTAGTGCGTTAGAGGTATGTGGAATACTGCTCATACATATTTTTTTTTTCCCACCCCTTCTAGGACTACCACTGGCAGTGGCGTTCATTTCTCACTAGTGGTTTCACTGCAGTTTATTTCCTAATATATGCAATACATTATTTTTTTTCTAAACTGCAAATCACAGGAACAGCTAGCACCATTTTATATTTCGGTTATACCATGATTATGGTTTTGATCTTCTTCCTTTTCACAGGTAAGTATATTGAACCTTAATTTTAAATGTTGAGTCTACCTTTAGCTTTGCACAGTAGAATCCTTGGCAAAACTTATTTTGATACAGGATCATAAATTTATATATGTCTTTGATTTTTTTCCAGGTAGTTGTGTAGCATTTTGCAACTCTGATCACAAATTTTAGTGAAAGAGAGTAGGTGAGGATGAGGCAAAACTACTGCTGATTTGAGGTGTGGCCTATAATTAGATCTTCAAATATAATGCCTTTAAATGTGATAAATACTTCTCCAGATTTCATTCCTATGTTAGTCATGTGACAAACTCAATTTTTTAAATTGGTTGTCTGGAGAAGCACACTTCAAATCAAACACAATCAAGTCTAAAGTTACAGTGTCAATTAAGGAAAAAAATGCAGCTTTTGTGGAATAGGAGGAAGGAAGAGAGAGGAGTAAAAGTTGACAGAGGATATTTTTGGAGGGTTTTTTACTTTTTTTTTTCTCCCCCATTTGCTCTCTTCCGGAACTTCTTTACCTTCTTTCCCAATTGCATTGAAGTGGCAGGGGAAGCAGACAGAACTTCTTAACTTTTTTCTGATGGTGTCAGAACCTTGTCATCTTCATTGTGAGCTTTTGGAAAAGCAGCTGTATTAGGTGCTGCACTTCAATTTCCTCTTCAGTAAGTGAGATGAGGTGACAAAACCTTCCTTTGTATCTTCAGTACTGAAAAGGAATCTTCAGTAAGACACACTTATCCCTTGTTTGGGGTGGAGGAATGGCAGTGAAAGATGCAAGAAGTCTCCTTTCAAACTCTCATGCAAGAATGCAGCAACCACCAACTCCCCAAAAATCTTAAAAATACTAAATTCTGTTCCAGCAGAATGTAATCAGTCTTTGTGGACTTAACCCTACAAAGCAGTATTTTTGAAAGTACTTTGAACTGATCGATGCTTTAAATGATTCAAGCTTCATGTTTATGATTAAGTTTAATGATTCATAGAATCATAGAATCATTAAGG